GAAGTACAAAGTACAGTCACATGAAGGGGAAAAAGATGGATTTATGAACATGCAACTATGAGATGGTTGGTTTGGGGGTTGTTTTCTCAGGTCAATAGGAACAAGTAAAGCATCTAAAAACAAGAGAATGGCCCATTTTTAAACTGCCTAGAAAGTACCCACTGTACATTATCCAGAAAATTTCCCCATCTTCTCTCAAAAAAAGTACCACAGCGTTGGGAATGGTAAAATAAACACTACAGTGCTACAAGAGGATCTGTCCTTGTGACTCAAACAAGATGAATTACAGTGCAAGCAGCTCAAGTCCAATTCTGGGACAGCAGCTCTTCCTACAGGCAGTAGGGATGTACCAGGAACAGCAGACTGACTGGGAATCAGCTGAGCACCCTCCAGCAGGATTATTTCTTCATCTAAAGACAGCCAAACCAGAAGGGACTCCCAGACCTTATTTCTTAAAGCATGGCAGCACCTGGCTTTCTAAAGTCATCTCAAAGCCCTCCTTTACCGGCAAAGTTCTCAGCTCAGCAGGCAACAAGTCCTGTCTGGATCCAAGAAATCTGGAAAGTGAAGCATCATTAATCAGTCCCGGTTGATGTTCAGGCACAGCCACATTCAGGCCATTTGGAAGATATGTTGGCAAAGGTTGGTCAAGAATTAAAACCCATCAGTTGCTGCAGCAACACGGAGATGTTTCCAGAACTGCTGGAGCAGCCCCAGGTGGGATGAGCTCACAGTTCCGAGAGGAACTGCAGGGAAACTCTCTGAGGGCAGATTTACCTGTTCCTGCAATGGGCTGAAGCTGATGTAGAGTTTAATTACTGCTCAGAGCTCTCCAGGCCACTTTGTGTTCATAGGAGCTTTTGTTTATTGGAAAAGGGATCTGGGAATTTATCCTACCATTCTCAGGCCAGGCTTTTCCTTCCCCTCCTCTCCTTTTGGCCCATACTGCTGCTAATGGAAACAAGGCACTACTTTTAACATTAAATTATAAAGGAATCCTTTAAGGAGGGAAGCATGAAGTCTTTTATCTTCCATACCTGTATCTTCATCCCTAAGTCCAGGCTTGTTTTCCTCACAGGTGCAGTTTGATCACCTGTTCCATTATTACCAAGCTTTTCCCTGGCAGGTGCTCCAGAAGGTAGGACACCTTCCCAGGTGTCACCTGCAGTGGGAATTGACCTGCAGAGCTGCAGCTGTGTTAGGAATTTTGGGTTGTATTCTGGGTTATACAAGTCTGGTGTCCCCAGGGCCTCCTCTGGCCACGAGCTGCTTCATTTGAGTCACTTAATTCAGCCTAAGCCTGGCTTTTGCAAAACCATAATGATCCCAGCTGAAATAAATACTCAAATTCTGCCCTGGCTTAATTCCATTAAAGCACTACCCAGATCCTTTTGCAACCTGGCCTTTAGAGTTCACCTGGAAAAAAAAAAAAAAGGAAATGGGCTGACTGCTTTCAGAAACGCGATTTTGGAAAGCGAGGAGACAGGATTGAACTTTCCGAAGTTGATTCCAGGCGCTGGAACCACAGGATGCCCCTTCCTCGGCCGGGAGCTCCAGGCAGGCACAGCCCCCTGTGCCGTGGCCCTGACCCAGGACACCAGCTGGGTTTCATAAGCTCGGTGGAAGTGGGAGCAGGGAGTTACACAAGCGTTTTCCCAGCCGTGACGGTGTCACGGCAGGATAGACCTGCGGCAGGGCTCACGCGAACAGTCCCCACGGCCGGTCGGACTCCTCGGCTCAGGGGGGGATTAGAGCTCAGCTGGCTCCTTCCCCGCCAACCAGACAGAGATCTGCGACTCAGACACGGTTCCCTCCATCTGAAGGAACTTGCAGTTGGTTTCCAGAGCGATGGGAGCACGGTGCACCCCGTCGAGGCCGGCGGGACCGCGGGGATGGGAATTGGGGACAGAAACATTCCCGGTGTTTGGACAGCGCAGGCGGCCAGCGGGCCGTGACTCAGCACAAAGAGCCAGCCAGGTCCTCGCCTCGGCAGTGCTGAGCTCGGGATAAACAAACTCACCACTTTCACCCTGACCTCCTTAGCAGATGGACGGACCCAAAAAATCGAGGCCAAGGCGCTTACACCATTGTACACTTGTCCCTCTTTCCCTGTCCCCAGCTTGGAAAACATTATTCCTTTTCTTTTCAGCTGTGTGGAAGCCAAGCACAGCCCAACACCTAAACCAGAAGATAGAAGACCCAATACCCCTAAGGACAGATAAATTTTAATTAATCATTATTCCATTTCTCAATTACCAGCTGCGAGAGGCTTTCACATCATTTAAACCCCGTATCTCTGTAAGAGGCAGAGCTGATTCATTGGGGAGTCACAGGATGCATTCACTTATGGGACCTTGTGGGAATTATCAGACTCCTGGGCTCACATCAGTTAAAAGCCAAGATTCCCTTGGACCTGGTGTCATGGAAGGGCAGGTCCTGGCATTAGCTGCCCCTTTCATCCTCAGAGATGCCAGTGGCCAGGAGGGACTTTATTCCTGGAGGAGAGCAGCCACCACATCCCTGCCAGCTCCCTAAAAGGACAGGGAACATCACCGTGGGTGAAACAGGCTCCTAAGTAAACACCCTGGATCTGCAGGCTCCAAGCCCTGAATCCTCCTGCTCACCAGGCAGAGGCTGCTCTGGCACCTTGTACATCACCTGTCCCTGAGTATGCCCTGTCCTTCCCACGGAAGGTGGCCCTCACAGGGGTGTGGGCACCAGCACAGGATTTATCCTCGGGATTAAGTCAGGGCAAAAGTTCAGCCCTGCTCGGAGGCAGAGATTGCATCATGCGGCACCACAACAGGTTGTGTTGCAGGGATGCTGCCACGCAAGTGGAGTCCCCGGGAAGCTCTGACCTGCGGTTTTCCTGGAGGACACACCAGCTGGAGCCTCGCTGTGGTCTCATCCCAGCTCTCCAACCCCATCACCCAGTCACCTGCTGGGGCAGAGCCCGCGGTCCCGGGGGTCTGTGCGGGTTTCAGAGGGGCTTTGGGAGCCATCTGCTGTCATCAGCCCAGATTACAGCGTGGGGGTGAAGGGCACCAGAAGGGCTCTCCTCCCTTCCAGGGGCACACGGATGCACTTGGACCATCTTCACAGAATCACTGAGGTTGCAAAAGACCTCCAAGGACATCGAGTCCACCCTGTGCCCCATCCCCACCTTGTCCCCCAGCCCAGAGCACTGAGTGCCCCATCCAGTCCTTCCTTGGACACCTCCAGGGGTAGGGACTCCACCACCACCCTGGGCAGCCCCTTCCAAAGCCTGACAGCCCTTTCCATGAAGAAATTCCTCCTGAGAAAATCTTCTCCAGATTTAACCACCAACAGAAATAAGAGCTCCTCAGGGAGCTCACTACTGCACCCAGAAGGACTCAGGATTCTCCCCACGAAACACAGCACTTTCAATACTTGAAAAGACCCAACTGGAGGGTCTGCACCAAGCAGAGATTCCAGGGGAATTCCAGACCCCAGACCGGGCAGGTCCCAAAGTTAATCCCAACTCTCACAGGCCCAGGTGGAAGTGGCAGAACAAGCTGTCTGCATCCCGCTCCAAGGGCCCAGCAGAGGACAGGGAGCTGCTGGGCACTCCAGTGCCAGTGCTTGGGAACTGAGGGGCTTTGTTCCTGTGCAGGCAGCGGAGCAGCACCAGCCCTGGCACAGCACCGTGCCCATGTCCCAGCCTGCCCCTCCAGCCGGGTGTGCAGCACATCACACTGCCGGCACAGCGAGCGTGCAAACCCCACTGGGCCTGAGTGGGATTGCCCTGAGCCTTCAGCACGGCGAGTGTGCCAGGCACAGCCTTCTGCCAGCACGGTGAGTGTGCCAGGGGTGTCCCTCAGCCAGCACAGCGAGCGTGCAAGGTATGCTCTTCTGCCAGCATGGTGGTGGTGAGTGTGCAAGGTGTGCCCCTGTGTCAGTACAGTGAGTGTGCAGGGCGTGCCCCTCTCTCTCCATCATGGTAAGTGTGCGAGATGTGTCCCTCTCCATCATGGTGAGTGTGCAAGGGGTGTTTCTCTCCAGCTCAGGGAGTGTGCAAGGCACATCCCTCTCTCTTCAGCACTGTGAATGTGCAAGGCATACACCTGGACATCACGGTGAGTGTACAGGGTGTGTGTCTCTCTCTCCAGCACGGTGAGTGTGCAGGGTGTCCCTCTCCAGCTCTGGGAGCGTGCAGGGTGTCCCTCCCCAGCTCAGGGAGTGTGCAGGGTGTCCCTCCTCAGCTCTGGGAGCGTGCAGGGTGTCCCTCCCCAGCTCTGGGAGTGTGCAAGGCACGTCCCCGTCTCTTCAGCGTGGTGAACGCTCCAGGTGTGCGAGGCGTGCCCACCTCCATCACAGTGAGCGTGCCGGGTGCCCCTCTGTCAGTACATCGAGCGCAAGGTGACCCAGGTGACACCCCCTCCCCCCCCAGACCGCTGAGCGTGCAAGGCGCGCCCCTCCGCCCCTGCCCACCACGGCGCGCGTGCAAGGCGCGTGCCCGACGCCCCCCACGCGCGTTCCCGTCCGTCCCCGCCTCTCCCCGGCAGGGGGCGCAGGGGCGCGCGGGGCGCGTGCGCGGCGCGGGCGGGCGGAAGTGCGGCGCGGGGCCGGCGCGCGGCGAAGGGCGCGCGGGGCCCATGGAGCTCCTTAAAGGCGCCGCGGCCGCTCCGCCGCCTCCCGGCCCCGCAGCAGCGACGAGCCCGGCCCGGCTGGAATGAGCAGGTGGGGCGGGACCCCCCGGCACCTCTTCCTCCTCCTCTTCCTCCCGCGGCACCTTCCTCCCACACCCTCGCTGTCCGCTGCCTCAGTTTCCCCCCCCCGGTGTCGGGGGTCGTGCGGCTGTGATGGGGGAGGAGGCGGCCGCGGGGACCCCCGGGCGCCTCTCCCGGCGTGGGAGGGGAAGCACCAGGACTGGGGTGGCTGCAGACCCTGAGAGAGGTGGAGTAGAGCCGGGGGAGGGAGATTCTGTGCTTGGAGGGGGCTGCAAAGCCCGGGGCAGAGGACACAGCCTTGAGGTCGGGGCTCCAAGCTCGGGGGCGTTGTAGACCCCAGGTAGGGGGACAGAGCCCAGGTAAGGGAGATCCCCGGGGCAGTGGGGGCTGCAGGCCCACCCAGGTAGGGGTGCAGACCACAGGTAGGGGGGCTGCCCCTGCCCTGGGGGGCTCCCGGGGGCAGCGATCCAGGCTGGGTCCCTGTGAGCCCTGGGGGATGCTCCAGCGTCATCCCCTGCTCCAGGGGAAACTGGTTTGTCCCCCAGCAGGATGAGCCCCCAGTGCTCTCTGGGCACCCCCAGGGATGGACCTGGGGAACCCTGGAGCAGCCCAGGGCCTGGGAAGCACTGGGGGATCTGCCAGCAGGATTTCCCTTTGGCTCAGGGCTGGAGTGCCCAGCTGGGCTCTTCCAGCTCGGGAAGAGCCCCCTGAGCTCCCCTTGAGACCCCTGTCCCTGGGAGTTTTTTGCATTGATCATCTTAACTTATATTTGTTTCTCCCCCTTTTTGTCCCGATCGTCACTGTGCTGTGCTCAGCCCCAGCAGGGCTCAGCTCCAGGCTGAGCAGGGGGCTCTGGGCTGGGGATTTAGGGGCTTATTTTATCCTGGATGGATAAGGGAGCAGCTCCTAGTTGAGAAGGGAGCCCTGGAGGTGCCTCACTCCCCCGGCACCAACAGAGGGGCTGTGTTGGGGCGTGTCACGTCTAAGTAAGTGAGTTTATCAGGTGCTGCAGGGCTGGGAGCCAGAGATTTCCCTCGGCTTGCGTAAGACTGAGCAGCAGGGCTGGGGCTGGGGGAAGGATCCGGCCCCAGTGCCCTGCCCACGGTTTTGCAATGGCTGTGGGGTCAGTGGGCGAGCGTCACGGCGCCGTCCCCGTGATGGGCACAGATCCCAGACAGCACCCAGGTCCCAGTGGGGCAGTGTATGCCAGGTGGCAGGATAAACCCAGCTCCCCGGAGGGCTGAGTGCTGGGACAGACCCAGCTCTCCCAGTGTGGTGCCAGGATGAATCCAGCTCTCCTGGTGGGGCTGGGTGTGGGGACAGCCCCAGCTCTCCTGGTGGGGTTGGCACGTGTGGGTTCAGGACAGACCTGTCCTGACTCGCAGCCTTGGGCACCTGACAACCCCTGAGCCCGTAACCGAGAGATTTATGACTCCTCTGACCTTGCAAATTGCTGAGTCAGATGGGGAAGGTTTTTTGCTGCATTCCCTGGCTTTAAAAAACCCTGCAGGTTCCCAAAGCTTGGAAGCCCTCCTGCCGTGGCCCCAGCCCTGTCCCAGCACGAGGATCATCCCCAGGCCGTGGCAGGAGGGAGCAGCTGGTGCTGAGCATGCTGAGGGTCAATTCTCTGCGTCCTCCTCCCAGGGAGGGGTGCAGTGTCCCCTGCTTCCTGAAGGCACCACATCAGCTCTGGGGGCTGCAGCCTTGCCAAACCTCAGGGGGAATCAGGCAGAAGGTTTGGGATGCCCAACCTCTTTCTGGGGAGCTTGTTGGAAGCTCATGAGGGGGATCCCCCCTCCCCTGGTGCCCGCCCATGGGTGCACTGGGCTCTGCTGCCTTCGCAGCCGGGGCTGGTCTTTGGACTTTGTTCCTTCCTGTCCTTAATTTTCCAAATGCAGGGAGGGGAGAGTCCTCCCTCCCCAAGGACGTGGAAGGCTGGCCTGGACTGTTCCCACCTCTCCAGCCAGGCTGGGCCTGCTGCCAGCGTGGGGCCAAGGGGGTGTTATCGGGGCTGGGCCAGCCCCAGGAGCCGGTCCCTGTCCCCTCCCGGGGCCACCACGATTATGGGGGGCCCTCTCCTGGCCTGTGCAGCACCGATAGCACGGTGCAGGTGGGACACTGACCTCACACCGCTGGAGTGGGGATGCTGGGGGGGCTCCCAGGGGAGCCAGGGACCCCCCTGGCCTCGAGCATCCCCCGCCACGCCTTGCAGGAGGACGGTGCCATGGCTGAGAAGATGTCACTGAGCCCCGGCGTGGGCATCACGCCGCTGCAGCAGATGCTGGCCTCGGGGACAGGCGCCATCCTCACCTCCCTCTTCGGTGAGCACCACAGGGTGGGTGCCAGGGTGGGGTGGGGGTTTAGCACGGGGTGAGTCACGGCTAAAGGGTGGTTGTTGTTTCAGTGACGCCGCTGGACGTGGTGAAGATCCGGCTGCAGGCCCAGAGGACCCCGTTCTCCAAAGGTAACCCCGCTCAGGGTAGAGTGGGGGGCTCCAGCCAGCCCCCCCAGCCAGCTGGCGAGCAGCCCGTGGGGTGGCTTGGCTGGCAGAGCCAGTGGCAGGGATGTCTCAGCCCCAGAGCATGGGGCCACTGTGAGGTGGCAGGCTACCATGGGCCCCTCATCCTGACGAGCTCAGGGGACCCTGCTGGGGGAGCTGGGCTCATGCTTGGCTCTGTCCTTCCCCCTCCACATGCCTGGTGCTGAGGGGGGTCAGCGCTGTGCCCGGCAGCCCCCAGCCCTCCAGGGAGCAGGGCAGGGGTGCTCACCCTGCTCCAGCTGTCTGCTGTCCCCTCACTGCCTTTGTTCCAGTCTCCACACTGCTCCCCATGGGCTCTGCCCTCCATCTGCCCCCCTCCTGTGGGGACAGTGGGCTGGGCCCAAGGGACTGGTTTGGTGACAGTAGGGGCTGCTTGGGAAGTGGCTGTGGGGGCATCCAGCCCCCTCACCCACGGAGTTCTCCCACTGCCCGTCTCGGAGCTGCAGCGCATGCGTGTGCCCCAGCCCCAGGAGCTGGCACGTCCCGGTGCCGTTCTCAGTGTGTCCCCATTGTGTGTTTCAGCCTTGCCAGCGCAGGCAGTGCCCTGGGGCGCTCAGCCGGCCACATGTGAGTACGCCCGGGGGCTCCGGGCAGCTCCTGCTGCCAGTGGCTTCGCTTTCCCAAACCTTGATCCCAGTTTGCTTTTCCACTGGTGGCAGCTCGGGCTCCTCTGGCTGTAGGGACATCCCTGTGGCCTGGGGGCTGCCATTGTCCCCTGCCCAGGCTGTTCCTGCAGCCCTGCTTTGGGGCTGGCTGTGCCACATCCGTGGGGTCTGCTGGGGGGTCTGTTGTGCAACAGGCCTGGCTGTCTGTGCTCCCCCTCTCTGTACAGTTGCTACATCAAAGTCCCTTTGGATCTCCACTGTCCCTCTGCCTGGCTTGACAGCACAGTGGAGGGCCGTGGTGTCCCCACTGTGCCATGGTAGCAGAGCCAAGGCCAAGCAAGGCATAAACCCCCTCCCTGCCGTGGAGCTGAGTGTCCCTCACCCTGTGGGTCTGGCTGTGATCAGACCTTTGCTGGAGGGTTGTCCCTCTCCTGGCCTTGGCCTGGGCCTGGTCCCACTGGGCTCAAGCACTGAGGGTTTGGCCCCTTCCTGGAAGGAAGGCTTTGGGATCAGATGTGCTGGGTGTGGGGCAGAGGGGAAGAGTCTCCTGTCTAACAGCGCTGCCATTGCTTCCTGCCTCAGGGAAGTGTTTCCTCTACTGCAACGGGCTCATGGACCACCTGTACGTCTGCCAGAATGGCAACGGCTGCACCGCCTGGTACAAGGCCCCCACCCACTTCACCGGCACACTGGTAGGGGCTGTGGGCACAGCAGGGTGGGCAGGGGCCTCCCTGTGCCAGAGGGGTGTTTGCTGGGGAGGTGTTTGCCCGTCTCCTCCCTCCAACTCCTCTCCCTGCTGCTCCACTCTCTCCCCAGGACGCCTTCGTGAAGATCACACGCTACGAGGGCATCAGGTCCCTGTGGAGCGGCTTGCCCCCCACCCTGTGAGTCTGGGGATTCTGGGTGCTAACACCCACCTGGGCACGCAGACATCGGTCCCGAGCCCCCTGCCAGCCCTCAGGGAGCGCATGTGCCCCTCACACCCCTCCTCCTCCTGCTCCTCACAGGGTCATGGCTGTGCCAGCCACCGTCATTTACTTCACCACCTACGACCAGCTCCGGGACTACCTGCACGCCCGGACGGGAAGTCGGGGTCCCCACATCCCCTTGCTGGCCGGGGCCCTCGCCAGGCGTGAGTACCCCTCCCCTCTGGGGGTCTCCCCGTGCCCACCCTGTGGTGCCAGCAGAGCGTGGCAGGTCATGGTGCCCACTTTTGGCACCTGGCTCTCCCAGCACGGCGCCGATGGCTCCAGGACAGCTGCTGGAGCGGGCGGAGCTGATTCCTGGTGTCCCCTCCTTGCAGTGGGTGCCGTGACGGTCATCAGCCCCCTGGAGCTGATCCGCACCAAGATGCAGTCCCGGCAGCTCAGCTACCGCGAGCTGGGCGTCTGCATCCAGTCAGCAGTGGCCCAGGATGGCTGGCTGTCCCTCTGGAGAGGCTGGGGACCCACCGTGCTGCGGGACGTCCCCTTCTCGGGTATGGCTGTGGTGGCACTGGGAGGGGGCAGGGAGCCAGGGCCAGGGGGGTTGGTGTGTCCAGGGTGTCCAGTTGTAGCACTGGTGTCTCCTCTCCCCCCCCCAGCTCTGTACTGGTTTAACTATGAGTTGGTGAGGGCGTGGCTCTGCAGGCAGGCCTGGCTGGAAGAGGCCACGTTCATGGTCAGCTTCACATCTGGGGCCATCTCTGGCACGGTGAGTTTGGGGTGCTGAGGCTCACTCAAGGCGGGGGGAGGGTCCCTGTGGGGAGGGAGGGAGGAGGGGTGGGCTGGGATGGCGCAGATGGCAGAGCTGTCACCCGGTCCAGGCTCACTGCCCGGTGCCAACCCCACAGGTGGCCGCAGTGCTGACGCTGCCCTTCGACGTGGTCAAAACCCAGCGGCAGATCGAGCTGGGAGACAGCGAGCTGCACCCAGGTGAGGGGCCAGGCCTGCGGGCAGGTGCCTGGGGGGCATCTGGGGCTCCCCATGGGCATCCCTAGACCCTCACCCGCTCTCCTCTCCCCACAGTCTCAGCCTCCAAGCCTTCCTCCACCTGGCTGCTCATGCAGCGGATCCGCGCCGAGTCTGGCACCCGGGGGCTGTTTGCAGGTGAGGACGTGCCCCAGCCCTGCTGTGCTGGGGTTCCAGGTGCCCCTGGTGTCACCCCTGACAGCGCTGTCCTTGCAGGCTTCCTGCCCCGTGTCATCAAGGTGGCACCTGCCTGCGCCATCATGATCAGCACCTACGAGTTCGGCAAGACCTTCTTCCAGAAGCTGAACCAGGAGCGGCGGCTGCGGGGGTTGTGAGCAGGACTGGGGCAGGGCTGTGTGTGGCCATGCCCAGGGGACAGTGCCAGCCCTGCTCTGGCTGGGAATCCCGTGCCCAGGGGACAGTGCCAGCCCTGCTCCGACCGGGAGCCCCGGGAGCAGCGATCCACGCTAGGGCTGTGCAGAGCCCAAGTGCCTTCATCCCGCACTCTGCCTCCCCACGCACGGAGCCAGGGCCCCCACTTGCAATCCCAGCCACTCTGGGGGACATCTGTGCCTGCTGCTGTGACACTGGGGGGGACATGGACCCCCAAACACTCATCCCTTGGGGCTGGACTGATGCTGCTGCTGCTGCTACTGGATTTATGGACACTCTGGCAAGGATGGGGTGTCCCAGGAGACTTGGCCTGGCAGGAGATGGAGCTGGGGCTCTGGCGAGGACCAAACCCCAAACCTCGGAGGATTCTCTGCCTGCCTGGGCCCCCCAGCCCTGCTCTGCCTGGGGGTCTGCCCCTCCTCCATCACTCACGCACAGCCTCCCCTTGCCAGCTCTGCATGGGGACACGTCAGGACCCTCTCCCTGCCTCCAGACCTCTCACTGGGGGTGTCCTTGTCCCGTGCCAGACCCTGGGTCGGACAGACCCTGCATGGGGACAGACCTCGCTGCTGCTCCAGGGGGCTGAGGGACACGGTGGCACCCCCTGCCCTGTCCCTTCACTGCAGGGGCCTGCCCCAGCTCTGCGGGCACGGCCCCCACCTTCCCCTGGAATTCATGTGGGGGGAATTCCTCTTATTTTCTTAAATAAAACAAAAATTTGTCTCATAGTGGAAGGGTTTTTCTCCCTGTGTGTGCTGGGGGGGCTGTGAAAGGCTGCCCCAGGGGTGTCAGCCGTGTCCCTGCTGTGGACACGGTACTGTCACCCACTGGGTCCTTGCTGGGCTTTTACTGGGGGTAAGGGACCCCAGGACCACCCTGCTCCCCCCAGCAGCACCTCACTGCTGATGGGGCAGGGGGATACCCCATCCCTGCTGACCTGTGGTGTCCCAAAGGTGCTCTCCCTGCCCAGGGGGGCTGGAGGAGGCTCATTGGACCCTCCCCAGCACCCCTGCCTGGGCCAGGACCTCATGGTGGAGGGCACAAGGGGTCTGTTCCCCCTTCCCAGCAGAGGGGCGTGGGTGACAGGCCAGCTCTGCTTGCTGCGTTTATTGATTTCCTTTTGCTCCAACAAGGCAGATGGGGCCCAAATAAAAACCAAAATCACCCAAAACAACCCAAAACCCAGGGGAGGATGGGGAGGGGAAAGGGGAGTCCTACCCCTGTCGTGGGGATGCTGCAGCAAGGAGGGACAGCTGGTCCCCGGAGTGGGGGACAGGCAGCCCCCCCACAGCAGGGCGGGGCTGGGGAAGGCCAAGTGGGCACTGAGAGCTGAGCAGGACGGACAGCGGGGCTGTGCCCAGACCCTCATCCCTGGAGGAGGCCTGCCCCTGACCCCCCCCCTGCTCCCCAGCAGCTGTCACTCCCACTGTCCCCCCCATAGCACAGTTCATCCCCCCCATCCCCATCTCGCCCGGGTGCCAGTCCTGCATCCCCCATCCCAACGGGTCCATGTCTCCAGCCAGGGTCCAGGCTGGGGGGCGGAGGCGCAGCCGGGGGGTGGGATGTCGAGATGGGGAGGGGGCTGCCCATCCCCAGCCTCCCCGGTGGGTTCGGCGAGTCCCTCGTCGGTCCCGGGGCGGCGAGGGGGGGCCGAGCTCAGTCCTGGGCCGCGATGCTGGGCCGGGCGGCCGGGCCGGGGGGCGGCGAGGGGGCCGGGGGCCTCAGCTGGGGCTGCGGGTCGGGCTGGCTTCCGTGCTGTCGCTCACCAGGCACTCGTTGGACTTGAGGCTGGCCAGGGACTTGCAGCTGGGCAGGGAGGCCAGGGAGCCGCAGAGCCCCAGCATGGAGGGCGTGGGGTCCTTCCCTGCGGGCAGAGCGGGGTGTCATGTGGGGGGCCTCGCACCACAGCCCTGCCACCCCTCTGGGTGTCCCTGCACTGCTGGGACAGCACCCCCGCCACGAGGAGGGGGCTGCTGGGAGGGTTCAGGCACCTGGGTGCGTGTGGGGGGCCACGCTGAGCCCTGGGGGGCACCCTGTGGTGGGTGGGGGGTGTCTTACCCAGGGGCCCCCAGGGCTCGCCTTCGCGCTTGCCCTCGCCCAGGCGCTGGGAGTCGGAGCTGAGGCTGTTCTCGGCCGAGAGCTGGTCGGTGCTCACGAAGCTGTGCCTGCAGAGGGACGACGCTGAGCCCCCCAGGGGGCTGGCACAGCCCTTCTCCCTGTCCCCTGCCTCATCCCCCCTCCCCCGGGGCAGGGCAGGGTGCTGGGCACAGGTCGGGGGGCTCTGCCCCCAGCGCGGTGTTACCTCCTGTAGAGTTTGCTGTCCGAGCCGCTCTCGTTGCCGTTGAGGGTCCCCAGCGAGGGCCACTGGTTGACCAGGGGGGTCACCATCTCCTTGGAGAGCTGGGCCAGCTGCGGGTTCTCGCAGGGGATCAGCCCCGTCCTGTGGCAAAGGCGGGCGCTCAGCACCTGGCACGGCCACCGGTGCCAGGGACCTGCCGGGCGACACGGCCCACGGGATGTGTGGGGCACTGGGGACCCACCGCGTCCCACGGGGCGCACAGGGGACACTGGGGACCCACCGCGTCCCACGGGGCACAGGGGACACTGGGGACCCTCGTGTCCCACAGGCTGTATGGGTATTGGCAACCTGCCACCATCATGTCCCATGGGACATATGGGGTATTGAGGACCCACCACATCCCACAGGGCAGATTGGGCACACAGGGGACCCTCCCTGTCCTATGGGATATATGGGGCACCTGGGCATCAGGGACCTGCCACCCATCACACCCCGTGGGGCAAATGGGATACCAGGGACCCACTGTGCCCCACAGGGAATATAGGGAACCCAGGCCCTGGGAATGCCACAGCCATCACACCCCACAGGGTGTATGGGGTGCCAGGGACCACCCCTCACCCTGCCCCTTGGGATCGATGGGGCCCTGGGGACCACCCGCAGCCCCTGGAGCACCCAGGCTCCAGGGACGCCCCCCACCCCAAGCCCCCTGCAGCAGCAGCAGGTCCCCACTCACAGCTGCTCCTGCAGCTCCAGGATGACGCCCTCCAGCTCCCTCTTCTCCAGCTGGTTCTGCACCATCACCTCCTCCAGCCGCAGCTTCAGCCGCTTGTTCTCCGCCTCCAGGTCCTTCAGCTGCGACTCCCGCAGCCGCACCAGCTCCTCCAGGTACCCCTGCGGGAGGCCACTGTCACCACTGGTGGCCCCGCCGCCACCACAATGTCCCCAGGGCCACTCAGGGTGACAACGAGAGGGCTGGGTCACCGCAGCAGTGGGATGAAGGTCTGCAGACACCACTGGGCTGTGGGAGTGGGGATGCGGTGGGGGGACTGATACCTTGACAGCCCCATCCCAGCTCCCGGTACCTTCTGGGCGTAAACGATGCGGAATTTCTGCTCCATCTTGCGCCACTTGTTGTACCAACTGTCCTCGTCGGTGACCAGGGGCAGGTAGGGGTGTTCAGGTGAGCTGTCCTCGCTCGTGCTGCTCTCCACGCTGCCCCGCTCCTCCTCCTCGCTCAGGTAGTCGTAGCTGGGGGGGTGCAGGGGCTCAGTGGGGGCTGTCACACAGTCAGGGAGCCCACCCCGGCTTCCAGGAGAGAGACAAAACCCACCAAGGGACCCAGAGACCCCAAAAAAACCCACTAAAGGAGTCCCCAACACCTGCAGGTGCAGGTGGGTCCTGCTGCACCCCAAAACACCACTGAGGACCACACAGGCCCCCCCCAAACTGACCAAACAGGGGGAGGAGGGGCCTAAAACCCCCAAAACCCATGAAGGGACCCCAAAAGCCCCCCCAAAACCCCAGAGAGGGCACCAGGCTCTTACCTCTGTGTGAACTTCAGGTAGGGCGTGTAGTCGATGACCACGGGCGTTTTGCCATCCATCACCTCTCCCTTCAGGCAGAAGCTGAGCAGCGGCAGTGGGAGAAGGAGCAGAGGGTCAGGGCACCCCAGGGTGGGTCAGCCAGGCCCTGTGTCCCACCACATCACCCGCCCCTACCTGAAGTCGATGGCGCTGAGCCCGATGAGCATCCCCGTGAGCACCGTGGACTCCTCCCGCAGCATGATGGCCCCGTCGTCGTAAAACCGCCTGAGGGGAAACACGTGGCACCCCAAAACCCACCCTGGCACACGGAGCCCACCTTGGGGCCCAGTGCAGGGGTAGCCATGACTGGGGGGGATCCCCGTGGGCCGCTCACCTGGTGGTCCGTGTGTCCCGCAGGGCCGTGGAGATGTACTCAGACATGCGCTTCTCCATCAGCGCCACGCGGATCCACGCCCGGCCCTGCAAGGCAGCGCCGCAGGCAGCCCTGAGAGGGGGCTGCCATTGGGTGCCCCCCACACACAGCTGCCCCTCACCACAATCCCACCCGCCCCTGGCACTCTGGGAACCGGCAGAGGGGGGTTCCCCACCCAGGAGTGGGTTTTGACCCGTTTCTCCATCCCACGGGGACCCACAGCTCCTGTTGCGCCCCAGTGATCCCCATGGGGTCCTACGGGGGGGCAGAGAGGGGATGGGAATGGCAGTGAGATGAGAATAGGGATGGGATGGGACGGGATGGGATGGGATGGGATGGGATGGGATGGGTATGGGACAGGATGGGATGGGGACAGCAATAGGGATGGGGATGGGAAGGGGATGGGTCCCTGTACCAGGGACAGGGTGTGAATGGAAGCAGGGGAGGGAAGAATAGGAGTTGACCTCCTGACCTTGGCCCTGGAGGTGCTGATGTTCTCCATGTTCTCGATGCTGCTGACGCAGTTGTTGGGCACCTTGCTGCAGGCCAGGCGGATGTAATCCCAAAACCCGCGCTGCCCATCGGAGCTGAACCAGCTGACGGGGCCTGCGGGCACCAAGGGGCTGTGTTGGGGGCTGCTGTGCTGGCAAAGCCCGTGACCACTCCCTGGTGCCACCGTGGGCATCCCCACCCACCACGAGGCACAGGGGTAACCACAGGGACACCCCTCCCGTTACCTTTGAAGCGGTGGCTGAGGATCTGCTCGAGGATGGCGGCGAAGTTGACGAACTCCTCGGAGGAGTCATCGATGGGGTCCGCCGTGTACTTCTCCAGGAGGGTCTTCACCGAGAACCTGGTGGGAATTTGGGTGTCACAGGGTGGGAGGGGACAGACCCACCCCCATCACCCATCACCCACCCGGTGGGGGGTGGGTTTCAGCGCCGGAGCAAAACGCTTTTCCAGCCGTTGGCTCCCGCTCCCGGCAGCGGGAAGAGGGCGGCGGGGCTGGGCTGTGGCTCGCTGACCCCCCGTGTCCCCATGCGTCCCCGGGGACCCCGAGGGGGCGGCCGCCGCTCCCCGCTGAGCAAGTGGCCAGGAAGGGCGAACAAAGGCCCCTTCCTCCCCGGCCGTGCGCGGGCGGTGATGGCTTCCCCTTCCGCCCGGCCGCTCGTGCTCCCAGCACTGCGATGCCGAGGACACGGCGAGCCCGGCAGGACGGGGCAGGTGTTGGCTCGGTGGGGATCCCCCCCGTCTGGTGGGTCACAGCCGACTGGGGATCCCTCTGACGGCGGGTGGAAGGTGCCTCGTCGTGACAGAGGGGTGTGGACCTGCCTCGTGCCGCGGTGAGGAAATTCAGGGGGTCTTGGAGGTGCCCTGTGCCCTGGCGAGGAGCCCTGGAGGTCCCCATGTCACGACAGTGGGGTTTGGAGCTGCCCCTGCGCCATGGTGAGGAAGATCCAGGGGGTCCACATGTCGTGACAGAGGGGTCTGGACCTGCCCTGTGCTATGGGTGAGGAGATCCAGGGGGTCTGGAGGTGCCTTGTGCCGTGGTGGTAACAAACAGGGGGTTCCTGTGTTATGGCAGCAGGGTCTGGAGCTGCCCCTGTGCCAAGGTGAGGAAATCCAGGACGCCTGGAGGTGCCCTGTGCCATGGTGAGGAAACCCAGGGGTCCTCTGTGTCATGACAGAGGGGTCTGGAGCTGCCCCTGTGCCATGGTGAGGAAATCCAGGGGGTCTGGAGGTGCCCTGTGCCATGGTGAGAAGACCCAGGGGCTCCCCCCGTCATGATGGGGGATTTGGAGGTGCCTTTTGCCATGGCAAGGAAATCCAGAGGGTCCCCATGTGCTGACAGGGGTCGGAGGTGCTCTGTGCCTTGGTGGGGAGCACAACACGAGGTCCTGGGGATCCCTGCCAGGCTGCCCTGGCCCTGGTGCCCCTCACACACCCCCAGCCCTAGGCCAGGCTCCAGCACTCCCAGCACCAGCAGCTCCTCCCCGGTGACCGGGGGGCTTCACCCCACTCATGCACCCCTGCAGAGACCACCAGAGCCCCCCTCCCGGTCCCCTCATCCCACCCCTGCCCCCACCTTCCCGGTCCAGCCGGGCGTCTCCATGACAACGCTCATCCTCCATCCTTCATCCCCCATCCCTGCCGCCAGGAGTGGGGCCCTGACGTCACTTCCTGGGCCCCCACCCGCACAGGGGTCCCCAACACAGCCCCCCACCCCGCACCCCGCTGCCACAGCACCCCCTGCACCCTCCACTCGCCCTGCTCCCCCCGCCGCCATCCTCGGCGGCCCCCGACATCCCTGCACCGGCCGCCTCCATGTTGTCGCTGTGTCCCCAATCCCCCATCGCCCACCCCGGAGCTCCTCCAGCCCCCTAATCCCCCCAGTCCCCTCGGAACCCCCCAGCCCCGCAGCCCCGGCCCCACCGCCCGCAGCCCCGCAGCTCCGCGCCCCCATTCCCGCATCTCCATCCTCCTCCTCCCCCTCCCAATCTCACCTGCCCCCCCAAAAAACAAAGCGACTGCAGCAACAACAAACCCCCCAAAGGGGGAAGGGGCGGCTGAGGGAGATGGGGATGAACCCCAACCCTCCTCCCCACCCCTCGCCTCCCCGCCCCCATCTCCTCCATCCCCACCGGCGGTGGTCCCTTCTCCCTCCCCCCGCCGCTCTCCCTTCCTCCCCATTTCGGGGTGCCCCTCCACCCCCTCGCCGCCGCTGCCCCCACCTGCAGACGGTGATGAGGTTTTTCCTCTCCACGGCGATGTTCCTGGAGGAAGCTTTCTTGGAGGAGAGCCCCAGAGCCATGGCAGCCGGCACCCAGCTCGCTTCCATCCAGCGGCCCAGACGCCACGGCCGCGGGCGATGCCCCTTTCCCCCGTCGGGGGACCCCCACACCCCACGGCCGCTGCCCCCGCACCGCGCAGGCTTTGCTCCGCCGGTGCCCACGCCACGGGCCGTGCGCCGCCCCCTCCTTCCAAAGGGATGCTCTCCCCGCCCCCGGCCCCCCAAATCTCTCCCCCGGGGGTGGGGGAGGAGGAAGCATAAAGGGGGGCAGCAGCCCTCCACCTTCCTGCGGGTCGCAGCCCCCCTCCCCGACATGACATGCCAGTGGTGGGGACACCCTGGGGAAAGCCATGGGGAGGGGGCAGCCCCCCTGGAGGCTCTGGGGGGTTCTTTGCACAACCCAGGCTGAGCTCGGCACCCCCTCCCTGCCCTGATCCCCGTTTTGGGGGGTCTGACCCCACCCTGATCCCCATTTTGTGGGGTCTGAGTGTCACCCCTCCCCACGAGGTCTGCGGGGGGTGGGAACGGGGGGTCTTACTGTGCTGAAGGGGGGCCCCAGCGCCCCCATTTGGTGTCGTGCCTCAGTTTCCCCACTGATGTGACAGGGAAATCGGGAAAGGGGGTTGAATTCCACAGGCACCCACAGAGCCCCAGAGCACCCAGATAAATCTGCGGCAGACAGACACCTGCCATGGGGACAAAACCCTCCTCTCTGTGCTCCCAGGGGGGCCTCACCCCCACTTCTGCCCCTGCCGAGGTGACCCCAGCCCTTAACACCCGGCTGGGGGGGCAGGGGGGCACACGGGGGGGGAGGGACCCCCAAAATCCCCATGGCTGTGCAGGGAGGGGAGCCCTTGGCAGCACCCAGATAAGGCCAGGGGCCGTTATCGGGCACCCAGACCCAGCACCACCCTCCACCGCTCTGTGGGTGCCACTGGGTCCCAAAAACGTGGGACTGACCCCCCAACTGGGTGAGCTCCTCAGACCGGGCTGGCACAGGGGGGACAGCGCTGGTGTGACCCCACGGACAGAGGGACCTTGTGGGGGACCCCGTGACTGTCCCCAGGCACTGGGGGGCTGCTGCAGGTCTCTGTGTGTGTGTGCAAGGCTTGCTCCTCCTTGTCCCTGGGATTTGGGTTTGGGATTTGGGGCCAGGACCCCTTTGGAAAGGCTGTGAATATAAAGACACAGGTGTGTGAGTGCACACACACGCGTAGATGTGCACACAGACACACACACAGAGCCCTTCCTATTCCACCCCCTCTCCAGGACACCCCAATGACGCCAATCCCACGGGACAGACGGACACCCTAACGCATCCCCCATCCTCGTGTCCCCCCCCACGCCTCCTCCCGGGGAACCTCCCCAGGAACCCCCTTTTTTTTAATTTTTTTTTTTTTTTAAAGAGAACATCCCAACCCCACGGGAAGGGGGGACAGCCGGGGGGATCCCGGGGATTCCCCGCAGGGAAACCCGGAGGTAAACAAGATACGGGGGGGCAGCGGGAGCAGGGCCGGTGCTGCCGGGGCAGGCAGAGGGACGGGACGGGGGCAGCGGGGCACAGGCGGGGCACAGCCTCGCGCCTCAAGATGTTGCACCCCGATAACCTTGTTTACGGGGGGCCCCGGGGGGGGCCGGGTGAGCCCCAGGGGGGCGAGATTAGGGAGGTGAGCGTGACTCAGGGCATTGGTGTCTCGCAGCCCGGGCAGCCGCAGGCAGAGCGCGGGCAGGGCCGTCCGGAGGCACCCCAGGGGTAGGTGCGGGGTCCCCTCGGGGGGTCCCTGGGGTGGGAGTGGGGGGACGGGGTGGGCGGGGGGGATGGCGGGGCCAGGCAGGGCTGGGAGGGCACCCTGGTGTGGGGTGAGGGGTGGAGGGCTGTCAGCAAGGGGGTGCCGGGGTGGGAGGTGCTGTGGGATGGGGGGTATGGGCTCCCTATGGGGACAAGGAGGGTGGGCCCCCATCCGTACTGCGTGGATACCTTGGGATGTGTGGGTTCCATACGGAACCAGGAGAGGGATCCCAGGCGCGCCGTGTGGATGGCATGGGATGTGTGGGCTCCGTGTGGAGCCATGGGGGCACCTGTGGCGGGACGGAGCCCAGCCACACCGTGCAGATGGCATGGGATGTATGGGTTCTGCACCACATGGAGCCACAGGGATTGCACCCACTGTGGGCAGGAGCTGAGCCTCAGCTGAGCTGAGCCTGAGTTGTGTGGATGGTCCAGGATGTATGGGCTCCACATGGAGCCATGGGGGTATCTGCTGCAGGAGGGACCCCAGCCGTGCCACAGGGATGGTGTGGGATACGTGGGTTGCACAATGAGCCGTGGTGACCGTACCTGCTGCAGGAAGAATCCCAGGCACGCCGTGTGGATGGTGTGGGATGTGTGGGCTCCACGCTGAGCCGTGCTGGGTATATGGAATAGGAGGTGTGAGCCCAGTCCTGAGCCACTCTGGCTGCGTGGCATGGGATGTGTGGGCTCTGTACTGAGCCGTGGTGGTTGTACCCACTGCGGGAGGGATCCCAGCCACGCTGCGTGGATGGTGTGGGATGAGTGGGCTCCATAAAGGAACACGTTGGCTGTGTGGTGCAGGAGACACGGTGTGGACTCCACCCCACGCACACCATGAGGGACACAGGGGCTCTATACCGTGCAGGAGGGTGGTGGTGCAGGACGTGCTCCATCCTGTGCCCCATGATGTGCAGGGCAGGACGTGTGGGCTCTCTCTCACACGCGTGCCGTGGGATGTATGGGCTCTATACGGTGCGAGGTGGTCCAGGGATGGATTCAGCAGGTCCGGGTGACCTCGCTAGAAGGTGCCCCAGCACCCCGCGGGTCCCCAGCCCCTCAGCCCGGCCTCGGGGCGCTGCGGGGCAGTGCGGGGGGCAGCGGGTGGAGCGGGGCGGGGGCCGAGAGCGGGTGCCGGGCGTTATCAGCGGGGCGCAGCCCGGTGCACCGGGCTGATGCAAGAGCCGCCGGCGGGGCTGGGGGCCGGGGGCCCCGGGACAGGCCGGGCTGGGGGGCCGGGGGCCGCCAGCCCCGGGGCCAGGCGGGGCAGGAAGGAGGAGGCCGGGTCCGGAGCCGGCCGTCCATCCCGTGGCCCCGCCGCGGCTCCTGCGCCGCACCGGGGATCCCGTGGCCCCACCGGGGATCTCGTGGATCCCCGCGGGGTGTCCGGGACCCCACCTCGGCTCCCGCCGCCCCCCGGCCGGCAGCGAGCTGCTGCATCACCCCGGTGAGATCTGGGGGGGCTGGTTCCCCCCGAAGCTCCCCATGCCCTGACCTTGCCCCTGAGCCCCCATGAGGGGTCCTCTGGGCCGGGGTGGTGGGGGACAGATGAGGTCCTTGGCCCTTCCAAAATGAGGGGGACGTCACGGGGGGGGCTGGAACGGGGGGTCTGGGAGTCCCGGGGCAGGACACCCCCCTCCTGGGCTGGGGGACAAGGGTGAGGTTATGGGGTGGGGGGGTTTAAAGGGAATGGGGGGTCCGGACCCCTGGGTCCCTCCGGGCTGCCTGGGGGCAAAAGGGGGGTGCAGTGCGAGGATAGGGCGCCCCCTGGCGGTTGTCCCCCTGCACAGCCCTGGGGCAGCTGCGGGAGGGGAGTGGGGCACAGCCCGGGGGGGGTGGGCAAAGTAGGGTCCAGGAGGGTGAAAGGAGGTGCAGGAACTGGGTGCTGAAGAGTATTTGGGTGCTGATGGGGGGGTAACAGCAGGGGTCTCCCCAGCTGTGCACCCTGGGGGGCTCTGGGGCGCTTACACTGTCCTGTTTTGGAGTGTCCCGTGAGCCCAGCTGTGCCTCAGTTTCCCCTTTCTCACCCCCGCGCTGTGCCAGGGGGCCTGGGAGGGGTTGCAGGGGGACCTGGGTACTGTGTGTGGGACCCCAGCCCCCGTGTGTGGGTCTATATGGGACCCCCACCCACTTGTGAGAGGTCATGCGGGACCCCAGTCCCTGGGTGTGGGTCTGTACGGGACCTGACCCCCGGGCACAGGACATGGTGTGCATGGGCATGGGTGGGCCAGGGCGGGATGCCACGTCCCTGGTGGGAAGCTGCCGGGGCTCTGCCGTCGCCTGACGTCGGTTCCCATCCTGGATGGCGACAGGGCAGGGCATGACTTCCCCGGGGGACCCCCAACCCCGGACCTCCCAGCCCGTGGGGAGCAGTTTAGGCAGACAGGGGCTGCGGGAACGGCCACGATGTTCAGCCCCAGCCCCATCCCAGGAGACGAACCCCTATCCCGGGCGGGGGCACCGAGCGATGCCCTGGTCTCTGCTAACGTGTTCTCTCTGGTTTCCCCCGCGCCCGCCCCGCAGAGCGCCGGGTTATGGTGGCACCGGGCTGAGCGCCGGGACGCAGCGAGGCGGCAGCGGGGGCCGAGCCCGAGGCCATGGAGGGGCCCGGCCAGGTAGGGACCCCCGGCCCCCCGCCCCGGCTCTGCTGCTGCGCCCCGGCACAGCCCCGGCGAGGCGTTGAGGGTACGAGACCCCGCTGACCCCCTTCTCTCTGTCCAACAGGAGGCCTACGAGGAGGGGATGAGGAGGACCCTCGACCCCGAGGGCTACGAGGACCCCGGCCTAAAGGACTCCCGCCTGTCGCTGGGGGAGATGAGCAGTGAGTGACTCCTGGGGTGCTGGGGGACACTGGCATGGTGGGGGCACCAGCACTGCAAGGGGGGGCCATTGCATGGGCACCAGTGTCGTACGGCTGCCAGCACTGCACGGGCGTGGCATTGCATGGGCACTGGTGTGTCACACGGGCGCTGGCGTGGCAGGGGTCACACCTCACTGCGTGGGTGACAGTGGCATTGCACAGGTGGCAGCGTTGTGTGGGTGAGGGCACCGCATGGGCACCGGCACCGGCTGGGTGCCAGCCCTGCAGGGGCACCAGCGGCTCGAGGTCGCATGTTGTGTGGGCACCGGAGTTCTGTGGGTGCTGGCTGGGCACGGGCACCAGCACGGCACCGGTGTGTTGCACGGGCACCAGCACTGCCTGGGCAGGGGTGTCTCGCAGGGGCCAGCGTCGTGTGGGCACACGGGGGGGATCAGCAGCACGTTGCATGGGTGCCAGCGTGGCACAGGCGTGTTGTATGGGCACAGCATGGCACAGGCATGTTCCATGGTTGCTTGAATGGCACGGGCATGTTGCATGTGCACAGCATGGCACAGGCATGTTCCATGGGTGCTTGAATGGCATGGGCATGTTGTATGGGCACGGCGTGGCACAGACGTGTTGCGTGGGCACAGCACGGCATGGGCAGAAGCACTGCACGGGCACAGCACGGCACGGGCGTGTTGCATGGATGTGTTTCCCGGGTGCCAGCGTGGCACCGGCAGAGGGGCTCGCTCAGAGCGAGGGGTCAGGCAGGGACACCAACCCTCAGGGGTGGCATCTCCCAAAGGAAGCGACACCCTTTGCCAAAGCCCCCGTGCCGTGAGGTGCCACCTCCAGCGCCAGGGCTGTGGGTACCTGAAAAGGGGCTGTCCTTGGGGCCACCCGAGGTCCTTGAGCCCCCGGGGAGGGAGGTCTGAGTGCCCCGGAGCATCCCTTGCCCCAAGCTCGGTTGTTCCAGAGCTGCCACCCCGAGGGGGTGTTTGGGCTCGGGTCCCCCGTTGGGGTGACACGAGTCGGGGGGTAACGCTGCCACCTGTTCCGCGCAGGGGCCGGCGGTGGCATCGGGTCCCCCTTGCACGCGTGGAGGGCCAGAGCCGAGGAGCTGACGCCCCTGCGGTGAGTCCCCAAATCGCGGCCGGACGCTGCCCTGCCTGCCCGGCTGGCATCCCCCGGGGGGAGGCCGGTGGCACCCGCGGTGCTCGGCGCTGACCCCCCCGTGCCGGCGGTGTGTGTTTTGCAGCCAGTATCTGCCCGGCCGCCGGGGATGTTATGACCTGCAAGGGAAGAGGCGCTCGGCCGGGGCCCCCCCGGGACAGCCCCCCCGCCGTGGCGGAGGGCAGAGTGAGTGACCGCGGGGTCCCCGGGGGACGAAGCCCAGCCCAGCCCGGCGTTTCCCCCCCACAACCCCCAGCTCTCCATCGCGCCGTCTTGCCCCGGTTCTGCCACCCACCCCTGTCCCCTCCCTGCGCGGGGTGACCGTCACCCGGGCGTCAGGGCACGCCGCGGGGTGACCGCTGCCACTTGCCCGTAATCGCCCACTGATTGAGGATAAATAAAGTCTTTGTTTGGGGTGAGGACAAGAACCACTTGGGGCCGAACGCCGGCTGGCGCCGGGCGGCTCGGTGGCGGCGGTGGCGGGCAGGGACGAGGACACACTCGTGCCCGTGTGCCACGGCCAACGCCGCCGGGGACACGGTGGCAAGGGACGCGCCCCATCCCCGCTCCCGTGGGCGCAGCATCCTTCCTCCGGTAGAGCGGGATGCGGATCTTACAGCAGCATCCCCCCGCGGGGTGACCCGGCTGGGGACAGCGAGGGGACCGCGGTGGTCCTCGCCGAGGGCGGAGGGGGACGGGGTGAGCCTGTCCCCACGGTGGGGTGTCAGCGAGCGGGCGGGAACCGCGCTGGTGTTTACTGTCAGCAAAGGAAGTGCTACGGGATTTACGGTGCACACAGGGCGGCTGCGGGGATCGCTCCCCACTTTATAGGGACAGAGCTGCGGGGACATGGGGAGCGCAGGGGCGCCCGCAGGTAGGCAGGGGATGAAGACAGGGATACCTCGAGCTCCTGGGGTCTGGCTGGCCGGGGATGTGGTGTCCCCGTGTCCCCATCCCAGTGGCGGTGCTCGGTGCTGGGTGCTGGTGTTGTGGTGGTGACAGGGCGGTGGCCACGAGCCCTGTCCTCATCCTGGCCCCGGTGATGTCCCCAGACTGTCTCCCTGCCCCAGGGGCTGGGCTTTGGGGATGTGAGGGGACCAAAGGCATTGTCAGGGTGAGGGGTGATGGAAGGTCTGGGATGGGGCAATGGGTGGACACGTCCAGCGAGTCCCCAGGAGGGCTGGGGTGTGACAGAAAAGGGGACACATCCAGGTGACCCCAACTGGGTCTGGGTTGGGGGTGATTGAGAAGGGGACACTTCCAGGTGACCCCAGATGGGTGCGGGATGGAGGTGGTGGGGGGAGGCACCTTCAACAGACCCCAGGGAGAGGGTCTGGGCTGGGACAGGGACCAGCTAACGCTTCGGTGGCTCCACTTGCAGCTGAGTCGGTGACCGATGTGGACCCGGAGGCATCGGGGAGCAGGAGGCTCCTGTCCCAGCGGGACACCTATGAGGTGGGTGCTGTCCCAGGGACCCCCATTCCCTCCCCATTCCCGAGGGTATGTGGACTGTGGCCACTTGGAGACCAACCTGGGAACACCAGGACACAGGGAGAGGAGACACTGGGTGCCCTGGGGGTCCCTGGTGTGGCCATGGGGACCCTGACCCCCCCATCTCTGGCTGCAGGGCTACGTGGAGCTCCACGAGCTGGTCATGGACAGCTCGAAGGACTTGTGCTGGATGGAGGCCGGCCACTGGCTCAAGCTGGAGGAGGATTTCCAGGAATCAGGGCAGTGGAGCCCGCCCCATCTCTCCTTCCTGACCTACCGCAACCTCCTGGAGATCCGACGGGCTTTGAACAAAGGTGGGGACACCCTTGGGGACCGCCTGGATGCCACTGGGGACCCCACACCGGCCGGGTGGTGACAGTGCTGTCCCCACAGGTGCCATTCTGCTCGATGTGGCGGCCAACTCGATGGCGGCCATCGTCAACATCCTCATCGACCAGATGATCTACGAGGGGCAGTGGAAGCCGCAGGACCGGGAGGACATCCTGAGGACGCTGCTCCTGCGGCACAGGTATGGCCAGGGCTGCTGCTCTCAGAGGGTCCCCAGGGTCTGGGCTGGACCCAGCACAGGCATGGCCAGGACTGGTGCTCCCAGAGGGTCCCCTGGGTCTGGGCTGGACCCACCCCAGTGCATCCCACTGGAGTCTGAATCAGGGTGGGAAAGCTTTATCCTCCAGCCCTGTTCGGGTGTCCCAGCACACCCACAGGGCTGAGGCTGCCTTATGGGCGTCTGGGGGTGGTTGATGGCACTGGGGGGTCTGACACAACCCTCCCCCGATGCTCTCAGCCACCCCAGTGAGGGTGAATCAGTGTGGACGCTGCCACCAGCGCTGCTGCAGCGCTCGGGCACCCGCCGGGACGACGTGGAGCAGCCACTGATGAGGGAACAGCAGCCCATGGAGATGAGCAAGCTGGCAGGGACTGAGCAGGTACCGGGGGCACTGGGGGGCACTGGGGGGGCGGGGCTGGGGGTAGGAGATGCACACAGGGTGTAGACACACACACACAGGCGAACACACCAGTTGTACACACCAGTTGCACACCCACACATGCTTGTGTGGACAGGGACACGCAGGGAATGGTGGGGGACACTTATGGGACAGAGAGGGAGACTCAGGGAGTGGTGGGGGACAAGCAGGAGATGGGACATTCAGGGGACAGAGACATGGGACAGTGGGTGACATGCTGGGGATAGTGGGTGACATGCAGGGGACAGAGAGGAACACAGCAGAGGGAGACATGCAGGGGGCACAGAGGACCACAGGGACAGCCACCGAGGCTGGCTGGCTAATTCCTACCATCCATCTGCCTGCGATAGAGTGGGGCCTCCAAACCCCAGCTCCCAGAGAAGATCCCCGAGGATGCTGAGGCCACCCTGGTCCTCGTGGGTGAGTGGTCAGCGGGGTGGCGGGTGCTGGGTTGGGTCAGGGGGGTGGGTGCAGGCTGAGGGGGGTGGGCACAGGGTCAGGGAGTGCAGGGGGAGCTTTGCCATCTCGCTGTGCTCGCTCACGCCCTGCCTTTCTTGCGCCTTTTTTGCCTCTCCCCATCTTCAGCTCTCGCCGCCGCCTGCTGCTGCTCAGCGCTGCTCTCCGGGTCCCTGTCCCCATGCCCCTTGTCCTCATGTCCCCTAATTCCCCTGTGTCCCTGTGCCCCAAGGTCCCTGTGCTCCCATGCCCATCTATCTCTGTGTCCCCATGTCTCTGTATCCCTGTGCCTCATTGTCCTCATGTCTTTGTGCCCCCGTCCCACTCTCCTTGTCCCCCCACATCCCCAAGCCTATAATGTCACCTTGTCTCCATCCCCGATGTCCCCATATTTCGGTGTCCTGCTGTCTCTGTGCTCCCACGTCCCCATGTCCCTGTCCCCTGTGTCCCTGTGCCTGGTCCCCCATGACCCCATCCCATCCCATCCCATCCCATCCTGCCCCCAGGCTGTGCAGCCTTCCTGGAGCAGCCAACGCTGGCCTTCGTGCGCCTGAAGGACGCGGTGACACTGGACGGTGTCCTCGACGTGTCCCTCTCCGTCCGCTTCCTCGTCGTGGTGCTGGGCCCCGACAGCCACAACATCAGCTACCACGAGATCGGCCGTGCCATCGCCACCATGATGTCAGAGAGGGTACGGCTCACCCACCACTGCCACTGCCACCCCCACTGCCACCGTCCCTGTCGCTGCCACTGCCATCAGCCCCCCTGAGCACCCTGGAGTCCCCACCCCTGGGGCTGCACCCTCTAACAGGGCTCGTCCCCCTGTGCCATGTCTCTCTCTGATCCCTATGTCCCCCTGCCACCGTGTCCCCTTGTCCCCATGCACCTGTGTCCCCATGTCCCCGAGGCCAAAGCGTCCCTTTGTCCCCATGTGTCCCAGCAAACACATCCCCTGTGCCCAAGCCCCCCATCTCCCACCTTATCCCTGCGTCCCCATGCCCCTGTGGTTCCATGTCTGTCCCCAAGCCCTTGTGCCCCATGTGCCCCCTTATCCCCATGTCCCCAGCACACCCCATCCCCACGGGGACGCTCAGGGGTGCCAGAGCCGGTGCCGGAGCACCCATCCCTGGGCGATCCCACAGGTGTTTCGCCAGGATGCCTACCTGGCCGAGGGCCGGCAGGACCTGGTGCGGGCGGTGGATGAATTCCTGGAGGCCAGCATTGTCCTGCCTCCCACCGAGACCCCCAGCGAGCAGCTGCTCCGCGCCCTGGTCCCGCTGCAGCGCGAGCTCCTCCGCCGCCGCTACCAACCCCCCAAGAAACCGCCCAGCGAGGGCTTCCTGAAAGACCTGGGTATGGCAGGGACCACCTGGACCCCCCACTGAAATTCCCTGTCCCCGTGGCGGGCGGGACACCCCCTTGCACACGGGGTGTCCCCATGGTCGCCTGGTGTGTCCCCAGGGCTGGACGCGCCGGTGCAGGAGGACGACGACCCCCTGCGCAGGACGGGGCGGCCCTTTGGGGGGCTGGTGAGGGACATCTGCCGCCGGTACCCCAAATACCTCAGCGACATCAAGGACGCCCTCAGCCCCCAGTGCCTGGCCGCTGTCATCTTCATCTACTTCGCGGCGCTGTCACCCGCTGTCACCTTCGGAGGCTTGCTGGGTAATGGGGGGGGGACAGGCTGGGGACACGCCAGGGGAGGGGGATGTTCCCCAAGGGGCCTCTGCCTTGTTCATCATCATCCCATGGGGATGCTCCCAGGGGGTTATGCACCCCCTAATCCTGGTGCCCAAGGACTGGGGGGCACAGTGCTGTGCCCCCCAACCTGGCACTCACTGGCCCTGCTCCCTCTCAGGTGAGAAGACCAAGGGCATGATGGGGGTGTCGGAGCTGCTCATCTCCACCTGTGTGCAGTGTGTGCTCTTCAGCCTCCTCAGTGCCCAGCCCCTCCTGGTTGTTGGATTCTCAGGACCCCTCCTTGTCTTCGAGGAAGCCTTTTACGGGGTGGGTACCCCCCCGGTGCCTGTGGGTGCCCCCCACCCACCACAGTGGGCTTGGGGTGTCCCCACCAGCCCTGGGAGAGGCACGGGGTGCTGCTGTGGGGGGGATGGCACAGTGGGGATGGCAGGGTGGGTGGCACAGGAAGGATGTCCTGATGGATGGCACAGGGGGGATGGCACAGGGTGGGGTGCCGTATGCCACACCATCCCTGTCCTGGGGAAGGATGTGTGGGGCCACTGTGGGATGCCAAGGTCCAGCCCACCTGGGTGCCCGTGCTGGGGGGCTCTGGGGGACCTGACAGGGCTGTGCCCTCTGGCTCCCCAGTTCTGCAGCAGCAATGGCTTGGAATACATCGTGGGCCGGATCTGGATTGGCTTCTGGATGATCCTGCTGGTGCTGGTGGTGGTGGCCTTCGAGGGCAGTTTCCTGGTGCGCTTCCTGTCCCGCTACACCCAGGAGATCTTCTCCTTCCTCATCTCCCTCATTTTCATCTTCGAGACCTTCTCCAAGCTGGTCACGGTGAGGGGCGTGGGGGTCCCACAGTGGGGAAGGGGGGAGAGGGGGCTGCAGATTGTGGTTATCACCTGGGTTTCCATAGAAACAGTGGGATGCAGGGGTGGAGCCCATCTCCCGGTGTTTTCTCCCCTTTTCCAGGTGTTCCCCAGCTCATGAGGTCCCTTCCAACCCTGACTATTCATTCTGTGGTTGATGCTCCTCGCCATAGGGGGATTTTGGGGCGGGGAGGTGAACCCCACATAGATGTCCCACCCCCGCCTCCCAGCACACATCCTGCACCCATCAGGATGCTCCTGCAGGGCTCCCAGCATGGCAGGAGGGGTTCAGGGGGATCCCCCATCCCCATCCTCGCTCACTGCCTCCCCTTCCCTCCCCAGATTTTCAAGCAACACCCCCTGAAGCGGGAGTACAACGTGAAGGATGACTTTGACCCCTCAGAGCCGGAGCCCAACACGGCCCTGCTGTCCCTCATCCTCATGGCTGGCACCTTCTTCCTGGCCTTCTTCCTGCGCAAGTTCAAGAACAGCGCCTTCCTGCCTGGCAAGGTGAGGGCAGGGAGGGCACTGTGGTGTCCCCCCCTCCCCGCTGCAAAACGGGGGGCTTGGTGGCCGAGACCGGGCAAACTCATTGCATGTTCCTGAGAGCTCAGTGTGGTCACCGTGTCCCCACAGGTCCGGCGCTTGATCGGGGACTTTGGGGTGCCCATTTCCATCTTCATCATGGCCCTGGCTGACTTCTTCATCAAGGACACGTACACGCAGGTCCGTGAGGGCAGGGCTTGTGGAGGGGGGGACAGGTGTCCCCAACACGGGGACGTGGAGCTGGGTGCTCATCCCTGTGTCCCATCCCCTCACTCCAGAAACTGAGCGTCCCTAAAGGGCTGGAGGTCACCAACTCGTCCGCCCGGGGCTGGTTTATCAACCCCATGGGGCTGCGAGAAGAATTCCCCATCTGGATGATGTTCGCCTCCGTGGTGCCCGCCCTCCTGGTCTTCATCCTCATCTTCCTCGAGACGCAGATCACCACGTGAGCATGGGGGGGACACGGGGAGGGGAAGGCTGCGGGGTGCACGGTGGGACGGGCACAAAGGGGACCTCCCTGGGGGTGCTGTGTCACCAGCTCGTCCCCTGTGTCCCCGCAGCCTCATCGTCAGCAAGCCCGAGAGGAAGCTGGTGAAGGGCAGCGGCTTCCACCTGGACCTGCTGCTGATCGTGGCCATGGGGGGGCTGGCGGCCCTTTTCGGGATGCCCTGGCTCAGTGCCACCACCGTCCGCACCATCACCCACGCCAACGCCCTCACCGTCATGAGCAAGGCGTCCTCTCCCGGGGAGAAATCCCAGATCCTGGAGGTCAAGGAGCAGCGCATCAGCAGCTTGCTGGTGGCCGTGCTCATCGGTGAGCTGGGGAGGTGCCCCCCTGCACGGGAGGTGAGGGCTGGGGGTGCCCCCAGGAGCTCTCCCCAACCTCTCCTTCTCCACCGCAGGTGTGTCCATCCTCATGGAGCCCATCCTGAAGTACATCCCGCTGGCCGTGCTCTTCGGCATCTTCCTCTACATGGGGGTCACCTCCCTCTTCGGCATCCAGCTCTTCGACCGCATCCTGCTCCTGCTGATGCCCCCCAAGTACCACCCTGACGAGCCCTATGTCACCAGGGTGAGTGAGCCCTGTGTCATCCCGACGGGTGGCCATGGGTTTGGGGGTGTCCTGGGCTGCAGCACCCCTGAAATTGCTTGAGGCTCCCCAAAGAGCCTCCTCCTTCAGTGCTGACCTTCACTGGGCTCCTTGTCCCACAGGTGAAGACTTGGAGGATGCACCTCTTCACCTTCACCCAGATCATCGTGCTCGTGCTGCTGTGGGTGGTGAAGTCCACCCCGGCCTCGCTGGCGCTGCCCTTTGTCCTCATCCTCACCGTGCCCCTGCGGCGCTTCCTGCTCCCCAAGATCTTCCATGACATCGAGCTCAAATGTGTACGTAGCCCCAGCACGTGCTGGGAGCCACTGCTGTGCTGTCCCTGTCCCTCTGCTGGTCCTGGTGTCCATCCCCATCCCTGTCCCCATCCTCATCTCTGTATGTATCCCCCTCACTGTCTCCAGCCCCATCTTTGTCTCTGCTCATGTCCCCGTCCTCATCCCCATCCCTGTCCCATTCCTGTCTCCATCCCCATCTGTGTACCCACCCTCATCCCTGTCTCAATCCCTGTCCTCATCTGCATCCCTCATTCCCACCCCTGTCCCCATCCTCAACCTGTCCTTGCCCCATTCCTCTCCCTCCCACCTCGTTCTCCATCCCCATCACCGTCCCTGTCCTCAATCCTGACCCCATTCCTGACCCCTCCCCATCCCCATCCTTTTCTCCAACCCTGTCCCCATCCCCTCTGTGTCCCCATCCCCATCCCTGTCTCCACCCCTGTCCCCATCCCTAGCCCTTTCTCCTTCCTTATCTTCATCCCTATCCCCATCCCCTGTCCCTGTCCCCATCCCTGTCCCCCTGACTCCCTCTCCTCTCTCCAGCTGGATGCGGATGACGCCGTGGTGACCTTCGAGGAGCAGGAGGGAACGGATGTGTACAACGAGGTGCAGATGCCCAGTTAAGGGCCGGCCCCCCCGGCCCCCCAACGACCCCCCTGCACACCTGGGAATGGAATTATTTTTTCAGTTGTTTTTCCCTTTTTTTTTTTTTTGCTACTTTTAAAAAACATTTTGGATGGTGTGATCTCACCTCCCCCCACTCTGCTGCCCGCTGGGGAAGGGGCTGCCTGGGCTGGGGGGGGGGTTCCATGAGCCACCCTCACCCCGTGGCAAGGTGGGATGTGTCACCATCCCATCCCCAAGGGCACCACCGGGCACTGAGCATGGGAAGGAGCTGGAGGAAGACGTCGGAGCCCGGAGGGAGGAGGAAGGCAGGGATGGAGACACAGCAGGATGGGGTCCCCCTCATTACTCCCAGCCCTTGGGGACCCCCCCCAGCCTGGCCCCTCCTCCCCAGATGAACATTCAGCGAGCTGGGACAGACCCTTCACCCCACGGAGCCCTTCTCCCATTTTCTCCATCGTTTGCTCCAGTGGGATCATCCCAGCTGCTCCGCTGCGCTTCCAGCACCTCCCAGAGTTGGGATGTAAATAGTCCAGTGAGGGAGTTTATATATTTAGAATGAAAACAATCATGCTAAAAACAGCCAAAAAAAAAAAAAATCACTTATAATTACGCTGATGCTTCCGCACGTAGGATTCGCTCAAGAGCCAAGCAAAAATTCCCAAAAAAAGGATGAAAAAGCACCTTAAAAATGAAAAAAAAATTGAGGAAAAATAGAAAAAAAAAAAAAAAGCAGCTGCAAGGAGTGATCTGTATATTTGATGCTACTGGGGGGGGTTGTAATTTATTTTTAGGGCTGGTTGTGCCCCTGCTGCAGCGGGGCCGTGTGTGTGTGTGTGTATATACTAGAGAATTATATCAAAATTCAGAATTTTCTATAAAAGATGATTTTTAAGGATCCTGGTCAGGGCCTAAACTCTAAGGACCAGTCTGTCAGTCTCACTGCATTCATGAATTAGTGTTAGTTAGTTAGTTAATTAGTCCTCTTTATTTTTATAGCATTCCAGGTAAATCCATGTAGTTTTTCCTTGATTTTTCCCTTGCTTGCTGACCATGTCTTGCCCTGTTTCCGCTGGGATTGCTCCCAGTCCAGCTGAGCATCCCCCTGATCCCGCCAAGGCTCATTCTGTCCTGGTCACCCTCAAGGATTGGATCCAGCCAGGGCACAGAACACTGGATCAGGCTCCAAATTTGCTCATTTTTGACCCCAAAATCAGCGGGGGTGGGTGGGAGAGTAGGGGGGTGGGAGTGGGTAGCCCCACCCGGGGCCTTGTGTTTGGGGTTGGTTTAGTTTTATTAATTATGTGTCTGAAATAAAAAAAAAATGTTTCGATCTTTGGGGTTTCCTCCTTCCCTTCCCCCCACCTCTGTATCAGGCTTTAATAAAGAAATTAATAAAATCAGAAAGGAAATGGGGGTTTTCTTTCCAGTTGGGAATTTTTCTGGTGCGTTGCCTCGTTTAATTCCCCCCCCCAAAAAGGAGTAGCAGCAGCTTTTGGAGCTGTCCATCCCCCTTGGAATGGGCAGTGCAGTTGTACCAAGATGCTCATCACGGCATTCTGGGATGCTCTCTGTATCCTGGAATATATCCCAGCCATTCTGGGATGCTCCTGTATCCTGGAATATATCCCAGCCATTCTGGGATGCTCCCCACAGTCATCCTGGGTTGCTCACTGTAACCATCCCAGGATGTCAGGGAATCCAAGAGATTCCTGTGGCCATCCCGGGGTGCTCAGCCCCCCTCATCCCCCTGCACCCTGGGGTGCTGCCCCACTGCCACATGGCCTTGGCTGTCCCTGCTCCAGAGGGGATTGGGAACATCTTGATCCAGGGCTGCTGGCCCAGGGTGCAGAGCAGCCCCTGCCCCTCCCCCAGCCCCTGGCACCAGATTGACCCCGATTATCCATAATCCCATTAACCAACGGGGGAACACCCGGCTCTCCGTGAGCGGGGCCGTGGGAAGGGCTGTGCCCGTTCGCCCCCAGCCTTCCCGTGGGGCAGGAATTGGGATCAGCATCCATGACTGCTCCCAACCGGGACCCCAAACTCTTTCCATGGGGCTGGGATAAAACCCCAGTGTGGCCACCAGCTTTTCCCAAGCCTGCCATAGCTGCTACTCCCTGTTTTCCAGAGATGGAGGCGCATGGCTGGTGTTTTCCAGCCCAAGGCCTGCGCATCCAGCAGCTTCCCTTCCTTATGCCAGCCTCATGTGGACAAGACATGCCGGGTGCCATCCAGAGGCCATCCCTGCCTCCAAATCCCAGTGGTGGAGGACGGCATCTGCCTGCACCCATCCCTCTTGTTTTCCACCCTGGGAAGAGTTTGTTATTCCCTGGGAGATGGCAGCGAGGTCACGGCCGCGGGATCCAGCCCGGTTTGGGGTTGGGAATTTAGGTCAAGCTCTTCTTTGAATTTGCCTCAGCCCAGGGAAATGGAGGGAGGGGGAATTAGGGATGGGAGTAGAGTAATGAGGGGGAAATAAATGCTAATTAATTGGTTGCTAATGAGGAGGGGGGAGCATGGAGCTCCAGAGGGGGATCACGTTGGAGCATCGCCCCTGGAAGGGGAGAGCCACAGTGCCTGCAGCATCACAGGGTGCTCCATGCCATCCATGGACAGGGGACATGGGACACCCCGGGATCTTCTGGAGGGGTCCAGTGGGATATTGTCACTGTTTGTGCACAGATTTGGGGGGTCCCCACTCCCAGCCCACCCGCTGCAGGGTCTGTGGTTGATTCCCACGGTTCTGGTGTCCCTTCCCAGTGACAAAAGCCACTGGGGGGATCGGGCCTGGAGCACATTGACACTCCAAAAATGGTTTTTTGCTTAAAAAAAAAAAAAAAAGTAAAAAAATTTAAAATATCAAATTTCATGTATTTGGCCTGATTGCCTCTAAATGTTTTGTTTGTTTACGTTGGTTTTTCCTTTTGTGATTTTACCTTCCTGCAAAGCAGCAGCAATTCCCACAATTCGGGGATCCAGCCCAGCCCAGGCCCTTTCCCCTGCTGAATAAATACATATATTTTTATTTTTAAGCTCTCGCAGGAGGGATTAACCAGCCGGCGCTGGAGCTGCCCGGCCTGGCTTGGCACAGCCCGGAGAGCAGGACGTGGCAGAGAATCCGGCTGTCCCTCCGTCTGGTTGATCCTTCCCTTCGGGATAAAGCCCAAATAAGCCACTTGCACAGCCAGGCACCACCCCCGCACCCCCAAATCATCTGGAGGAGGGGGGCCAACTGCACGCAGATTTAGGGATTATTATTTTTTTTCCCTTATTAAGGGTGAAAATCCCCTAGATGTTGGCCGTTCCCGTGCCAGGGAGATGCCTGTAGCCCATAAAGCCGTGTGGCCCCATATTCCCAGACCATCCCGCATCCTTTACGGGGGGAAGTCCCGCTGCCTCGTGGCAGGTGCCGGCCGGAGCTTGCCTGTGCCAGCCTGGCTTGGGAGCAGGGAAATGGCCGGAGCTCCGGGAGCACGCCGGCCTTGCAGCAGCGATCAGATTGCCGGAGCTCGCCGGCAGCCGGGAATGTGCCGGCAGCCGGGAAGGAACGGCCGCGGCATGCGGGCGGCCTGTGGTCGTAGCACAGTCAGCCCCGGTGCCTTGGGGCAGGCAGGGCGGTCGGTACGGCGGCTGCAGCCCGGCACCGGTGGTGGCTGGGGCGGTCGGTGCCGTACAGGCAAGCCGGGGTGGCCGATCCCACGGAGGCAGCCGGTGCCGTGGAGGCAGCCCGGGGTACGCGGTACCGCGGGGGTGTTCGGCACCGTGCGGGTGTTCGGTACCGCGGCAGCAGCCCGACAGGCCAGGACTGCCGGGGTGGCCGCCACCGTGGAGGCAGCCGGGACCGCGGAAGCAGCCGCGGGGACATGGAGGCAGGCGGTGCCCTGGCGGTGGCCGGGGGTGATCGGCACCATGGAAGCGGAGGCAGCCGGGGAGGCAGCCCGGGGTACCCGGAGCCGCGGGGGGCGTTCGGTACCGTGGCGGCGGCCGGTGGCACGGAAGCAGCCCGGGATGGCCCGTACTGTGCAGGCAGCCGGGATGGCCGGGAATGTGCAGGCGCTGCCCGGCCGGGATTGGCTGCGGGGAATGACGCCCAGCACAACAAAGGTGGAGTTGGAGAAATTCCATTAAAAAAAATTAAGAGAGAGAGAGAGAGAGGGAAGGGAGAGAGGAGAGAAAGGGAGCGGAGGGAGGGAGGAGGGGAGGAAGCTGCCCCTCGCCCGCCCCGCCGGGCAGAGCCCCCCCCGCCGCCGTGTCCCGGGGCCGCGGGGCGGGCAGGAGCGCGGCCCCGCCGTGCCGTGGGGGCCCGGCTCGGCTCCCTCCCCCCCCCTCCCCGCTTCCCCCTCCCCCGCTTTATTTTTTTCCTTTTTTTCATAATTATCTTTTCTTTATGCAAACGCCGGCCGAGGATTGTTGCACATGTAAGGAGATTTTTTTTTAATTTTTTTTCTTCCTCCCTTCCCCCCACCCCACCCCCTCCTTTCCCTCCTCTTCTCCTTCCTCCTCCTCCTCCTCCTCTTTTTCTTCTCACCACAGTGTTGCAAAAGCAAAGAGCAATAAAAAACCCGGCGGAAAGCGGCGGCGGGGCGGCAGGGCTGGCGGGGAGATCCCGGCGGATCCCGGCCGCGCTCAGCCCGGCTGATTGGAAGAGCGAACGCAGCGCCATGGAGGCGGGGGAAAGCGCGATCGTCTCTGCGGGGACTGGAGCGCGTCCACGCCCGGGGCCAGCGCTGCAGAGCTGGCCGCCGTTCAACCGCCGCTCCCCCGCCCCGGCCCCGCCGAGCGAGCCCCGAGCCCCCGCCGCCGCCCCCCAAAAAGCGGCGGCCCCGCCGGTACGTGCCCGCGCCGGGGGAGCCGCCGCCGCCGCCGTGCCCCGCCGCGCCGCGCCGTGCCCGCCGCCCGGGCTCGCCATTCGCCGCCGCGCCGCTCCGCCGGCGGGGCTGGAGGAGGCGCTTTGTTCCTCCCCGGGCTCCCGCTGCCGCCGCCGCTGCCGCCACCGCCGCCGCGCTCCGGGCTCGGTAAGGCGCTCCGCCGCCGCTCCGCCGGGATCGGGGAGGGGGTCGCGCCCACCAGAGCGAATTTTTTTTTTATATATATATATATGTACGTATATATATAAAAAAGGAGAGGTTATTTTTTTTTTTTTTTTTTTTAAGAAAGGCTGGTTTCGCGCAGGCCCCGCGGGCAGGAAGCCGCCGCCGCCACCGCCGGGGCTCGCCCGCCTCGCCCGCCCGCGGGGGGCACCGCGCTGGGGCTCGGGGCGGGGGGCAGCGCCCGGCTCGGCGGCCCCGGTGTGCCCCCCCCTTCTCTCCCTCCTTTTTCCCTTCCCTTCCCTCTCCTCCTCCTCGCTCCCTCCCTCCTTCCCGCTCGCCTTCCCTCCCTCCTCCCCGGTGCCGCAGCTGGATTTCGGGGGCAGGCTTCCAGCGCTGCCCGCTTGTTTTTCCCCAGCCCGGGTGAGTCCCGCGCCGCGGCGGGAGCTGGGCGCCGCGCTCCGCCGGTGCGTGCCGGGGCTCGGCCGACCCCTACCGCGCTCCATCCCCTCCTTATCCTCGCTTTATCCCTCCCCCCTTTACCTCCTTTTTCCCCCCCCGTTTTTTTTTCGTTTTATCTATATTTTTCCTTCCCCCCTTTTTTTTCAGCCTTTCCCCCCCTCTCTTTCCCCTTCCTTTCTTCCCTCCGGACGGGGAGCGGGGCTCCAGCCCCCCGCTGGGTGGGTGGGTGTTCGCGGGGCTCGAGGAGGGGTCGCGGAGAGAAAAAGAGGGGGGTAAGAAGGAGAGGAAAGGAGAGGGGGGGAAAAACGAGGAAAGGAAAAGCGAGGAGGGGGCGGCGGTGGGGAAAAAGAGAAAGAGGGGGGAGGATCGGGTAGGAGCCGCTCCCCGGGGGTCGGTGCGGGGAGGTCGCGCTGCCCTCGCCCGGCTCGCTGCAGCTGCCCGGCCGCCCCCAGCCGGGCATCCCCGCCCCCCCTTCCCCCTCCTCCTCCTCCTCCCTTCTTCTCCTTCTCCTTCTTCTTCTTCCCCAGCGGCTCCGGCGGCGGGGTTGGGGCTGCGGCGGCTCGGTTAGAGCTCCCCCGCACCCCCCTCCCTTTCCCCGCTTCCCCCGCCGCTCCAACCTCCTCCCTCCTTCTTCCACCACCGCCACCACCACCACCACCTCCTCCTCCTCCTCCCCCTTAGCAGCCCGGAGAGGTGGGTTTGTCTCGGCTTTATAACCGCGGGTGGAGGGGAAGGAGCGGCAGGCGGAGGCGGGCGCAGCCCGGCCATTGTGTGCCGCGGCGGAGAGCGGCCGGTAACGATGGGGGGATGCGGGGGATGCGGGGAGGAGGCGCGGGGGATGAAGCAGCGCATCGCATCGCATCGCTCCGGGGGCCGGAGGGATGCGGAGAGCGGCCGGGAGCGCTCCCGCGCCCTCTCCGCACTCCCCGGCCCCCGAACTCGCCTTCTAT